ATACTTGATTGCTTCATGCTGCAACCATTTAGATTACCATATTTTTATCTACAATTTTAGAAGAGATGTTGCAATATGATGATCTGACAATAACTGTCAAAGTCATAATACTAGAATCTATTTTCATCTTGTTGTCAAGGTCAAGTTACTGAAATTCATAGTTAGTAGGTCAGAAAGATTACTTACTATCTCTTGTTGTCTGTGGTTTAATGCTGACCTAAACAGTACTGTGTAATGTCAACGTTATCACAGTTTCTAGGCTGCAGAAGTACAACACGTTGCATGATTTAATGTGTTTCCTGTCCGGAATGAAGATGGCCAACAACCATGAGCTACTGTGATTCAGAAGAAACTGAATTTCTAATTCTTTTCTCTCTCCTTTCCATTCATTTCAGATTTTGGATTTAGTAAAAGGGACACATTACCAGGTAGCCTGTCAGAAGTACTTTGAGATAACACATAATGTAAGTATATTTTTAAACTTTAGAGCCTAATTCTTTGTCTTTTGTTACTCTTTGCTTCATTCAGGGGTTTTAGTTGCAGCAATAGAAACCACTCCAGCCATTTTTAGCAGAAGGAATTTATCACACAGTACTGGGTGGCGGCTTATGAAATTTATAGAAGGGCCAGAGAATTATGCTCCAGAACCAAGAGTGTTGTTACTAGGAGGAGCTACATCATGAGAAAACCTTACTGTACTACAGCTGTCACCCACCACTCCATTTCCAGAGATGAGACCAAGAGTTGGAAAACTTTTGTCAAGTGCCAGATCGTAAGAATTTTAGGCTTTACAGTCCATATGGTCTCTGTCCCAGCTCTGCTGTGTAGTACAGCCGTAGACAGTATGTTAATGAACAGGCATGGCTGTGTTCCAGTAGAACTTTCTTTACAAAAGCAGCTGGCAAGATTTGACACACAGGCCTCAGCCAACCTCTGGAGTAGATCTAGAACGTTTGGCCACAGCTGCCCAGAGGAACCTGTCTTTGACCGTCTTCCCTGCAGAAAATGTGATCCTTTTACTTGCTGCCACCTCATGTTTAAGCTACTACCCAAGTCTTGTATTTATCTGCATGAAGAACCTAGGTTACATGGTAGACCCTTAACTTCAAGGAGTCAGGGAAATGTGTTTGGTTTCTCTCAATGCCAGCCTCTTTAGTACAAGAAAGCCCTGCTGTAGTACATTCTGAAAGGTATAGAACAAAGGTTGCAAACTGAGGTATTAAAAAAAAAAGAAAAAAAAGTGAAGCTTCCTGAGATTAATACCAGAGAGGAACCGTGGTATACTAAAGATTCATACCCTTAGAGGCATTCACATTGACAGGTTTTAAGACCCTATGTAGGTCAACTGCACATCTGAGGTCACATTCAGCCCACTGGTACTCCATTTGCAAATACTGATCCTGGCCATGGCCTCCTAACCTAGCACAGATATCCAAGAATGGACTTGGAGATCAATGCACCTATAGAAACATTGCTTCTGTGAGTACATCGAGCATTTTTAAGAGTTGGTGATGTTCAGGATACAAAGGGATCCATAACCCTTTCCAAAAGATGTATTTATTGAATTCATCATTAGCTACTATGCTATGCTAAATTTTACAATATTTTTTTAAATTTAGTTTTCATGAAATTTTTTCATTGTGGTTATATAACTGCAGAATTTTTGCTAAAATATTTTATAGGAAAATGTATCCTATAATATTACTAATGATGATGAAAATAACAATATTGACATCAGCCAACATCTATAAAACCCTGATGCATGCCAGGCATAGCCCAGAGTACTTTGGACACATTAGCTATTTTGATCCACATTTAAGTACTATTTTATCCCCTTCTATGAATAGAGCTTAGAAAAACTGAACAACCTGTATATAATTATAGTGCTTATCGGGGAAGGAACTTGGATTTGAAATAGGCTATTGAGTAACTCATCTAGAGCTTATGAGCCTAACCAGTACTGTGCTATTCTACAGTATCTGGTAGAACATATCAACATTCACATCAGAGGTGTACTAGAAAAAAAGAGAACAAGAAATTGAAGACCTGTTTGAAGAAATAATGAGCAGAAACTTCCCTAACCTGGTAAAGGAAATAAACACAGAGTCCCAAACAAGACAAAACCAAAGAGGCCCACACCAAGACTCAGCATAATTAAAATGCCAAAGGTTAAAGAAAGAACCGTAAAATAGCAAGACAAAAGCATTTAGCTATGTTCAAGGGTGCTTCCCATAATACTGTCAGCTGGTTTCTCAGCAAAAACTTTGCAGGCTAGAGGAAATGGCATGAAATACTCAGTGATGAAAGTTAGAACTATCACCAACAATGTACTACCCAGCAAGGCTATCATTTCTTTTTTTTTCTTTCTAATATATTTTATTGATTTTTTACAGAGAGGAAGGGAGAGGGATAGAGAGTTAGAAACATCGATGAGAGAGAAACATCAATCAGCTGCCTTCTGCACACTCCCCACTGGGGATGTGCCCGCAACCAAGGTACATGCCCTTGACCGGAATCGAACTTGGACCCCTTGAGTCTACAGGCCGATTCTCTATCCACTGAGCCAAATCGGTTAGGGCAAGGCTATCATTTCTAATTGAAGGAGTGATAAGAGTTTTGCAGATAAGATAAAGGTAAAAGATTGCATCTGCACTGAGCCAGTGTTATAAATACTAATATTAAAAAGACTTCTTTAAGAAAAAGAGATTTAAAAAATATAAAGAAAAAATCCTCACTGAAAAGGCAAACAGTTAATAAAAGGCAAAGCAGTGTATAACTAACTCTAAGAGCTAATACTAAGGTTAAAAGGCAAAAGTAGGAAGACCATGTGTAATTACAACAATAAATTAAGGGATATACATAGACACACATAAAGGTGGAGGGGCTGAATAAAAATTGTGATTTTAGAATGTGTTCATACTTAAGCGACCATCTACTTAAAATAGATTGCTATAAACATAGTTTGATATATGGTAACCACAAACCAAAAATCTATAAGAGATATATAAGAAATAGAGAGAAAGGAATTCAAATATAACACTATAGAAAGTCATTGACCTACAGGAGAGTAACAGAATTAGAAATGAATTGAGAACTACAAAACAATGAGAAAGCAATTAATAAAATGGCAATAACTACATATCTGTCAATAATTACTTTAAATGTAAATGGATTAAATGCTCCAATCAAAAGACATAGTGGATTAAAAAACAACAAGAGCTAAACACATGCTGCTTACCGTAGACCCACTTCAAATCAAAAGACACATACAGACTGAAAGTAAAAGGAAGGAAAAAGATATTTCATGCAAATGGAAATGAGAAAAAATCTGAGGTAGCTATACTTATATCAGACAGAATAGACTTTAAAATAAAGGCTGTAACAAGAGATTAAGAAGGGCATTTCATAATGATAAAGATCAATCCACCAACAGGACATAACCCTTGTAAACGTTTTAGCTCCCAAGGTAGGAGTCCTATTATATAAAGCAAATATTGACGGACATAAACTGAGAGAATGGCAGTAATACAGTCAGGGTAGGGGAATTTAACACCCCATTGGCATCAATGGATAGATCATCCAGACAGAAAATCAACAAGGGACCAGTGACCTTAAGTAACACATTAGAGCAGATGGACTTAATTGATATTCCTACAACATTTCACCCAAAAGGCAGCAGTATATACATTTTTTTTTTCAAGTGCAAGGGGAACATTTTTCAGGATAGACCACATGTTAGTCATAAGCAATGCTCAATAAATTGAAGAAGATTGAAACCATATCAAGCATCTGCTCAATCACAATGGTTTGAAACTAGAAATCAATATCAAGAAAACTGAAACACACACAAACTCTTGGAGTCTAAATAGCATGGCAGCAAACAATATACTGGCTAATGAGATTAAGGAAGAAATCAAAAGTTACCTTGAGATGAATGAAAGTGAAGACACACTGACAGCCAAAGCAGTTCTCAGACGGAAATTTATAGCACTACAGGCTTGCCATCATGTAACAAGAACAATCTCAATCTAACCTTACACCTAAATGAACTAGAACAAGAACAAACATAGCCCAAAGTGAGTAGAAGGAAGAAAATAATAAACATCAGAATGAAATAGAGTCTTAAAAAATAATAGGAAAGATCAGTGAAACCAAGAGCTGGTTCTATGCAAAGATAAAACTGATAAATCTCTAGCAATATTTGTCAAATAAAAAAGAGACTGCACAAATAATAAAATTGGACATGAAACAAATGACAACCAATACCAAAAAAATTATAAGAAAATACTATGAAATATATGCCACCAAATTGGACAATCTGGAAGAAATGGATAAATTCCTAGAAACATATCTTTCAAGATTGAATCGGAAGAAACAGAAAAATCCAAAAAGACTGATAACTAGTAAGGACATTTATCAGTAAATAACAACAAAAACTCCCAACAAACCAAAGTCCTGGACCTGATGGCTTCAAAGGTGAACTTACCAAACATTCAAATTATAATTAATACCTATCCTTCTCAGAGTATTCAAAAAAATTAAATAGGAAGGAAGGCTCCCAAACTGATTTTATAAGTTCAGCAGTACCATGATAACAAAACTAGAGAAAGACACTACCAAAAAAGTAAGTTATAGATCAATATCACTGATGAACATAGAAGCAAAATTCTCAATAAAATATTAGCAAACCAAATTCAGCAATATATTAAAAGGACCATATACCATGATCAAGTGAGATTTATTCCTGGGATGGAAGGTTGGTTCAATATTTGCAAATCAATTAATGTGGCATAACACATAAACAAAATAAAGGATAAAAATCAAATATCAATAGATGCAGAAAAGGCATTTGACAAAATCCTCCACCTATTTGTGATAAAAACTCTCAACAAAGTATGTGTAGAAGGAACATATCTTAACATAATAAAGGCCATATATGACAAACCCACAGCTAACATCATACCAGGGAAAAGCTGAACATCTTTTCTTTAAGATCAGGAATAAGATGAGGATGTCCACTTCCTCACTTTTATTTCAGCATAGTATTGGAAATCCTGACCATAGCAATCAGATAAGAAGAAGAAATAAAAGGCATCCAAATTGGAAGGTAGTTATTATTTGCAGATGACATACTATACATAGAAAAGCCTAAGGATTCCACAAATAAAACTATTAGAACTAATAAATGAACCAAGTAAAGTAGAATATAAAATTAATATTCAGATATCGGTTACATTTTAATATCCAATAATGAACTATCAGGCATTAATAAAATTCCATTTACAGTTGTATCAAAAAGAATAAAATACCTAGGAATAAATTTAACCAAGGAGATGAAAGCCCTGTATTCAGAAAACTCTAAGACATTTAAGGAAGAAATTGAATAAGATGTAAATAAATGGAAGAATATATTGTATTAATGAATATGAATAATTAATGTTATTGAAATGTCTATACTATGGAAAGCAACCTATACAATGCAATTTCTATCAAAATACCAATGTCATTTTCATAAAACTAGAACAAATAACCCTAAAATTTATGTAGAACCATAAAAGACCCCAAATAGCCACAACAATCTTGAGAAAGAACAAAGTTGGAGGTATCACGATACCTGATATCAAACTATAGTACAAAGCGATAGTAATCAAAATGGCATGGTACTGGCATAAAAACAGACACATAGGTCAGTGGAACAGAATAGAAAGCCCAGAAATAAATCCACACATATATGGTCAATTACTCTGTGACAACAACAAGAATATACAATAGGGTACAGACAGTCTCATCAATAAATGGTGTTAGGGATATATACAAGAACAAATTAAAAGTGGAATAAAGACTTAAATCTAAGACCTGAGACCATAAAATTCCTAGAAGAAAACATGGGCAGTAAACATTTTAACATTGTTTTTAGCCATCTTTTTATATGTCTCCTTGGGCAAGAGAAACAAAAGAAAAAATAAACAAATGAGAAAGAATTTTACACAGCAAAGGAAACTACCAACAAAACAAAAAGACATCCTACTGAATGTGAGGAGATATTTGCAAATGATACATGTGGTGAAGGATTAATATACAAAAATATATAAGGAACTCATTC